CCGCGCGCGCCGCGTCCTCGCCCGCGGCCGCGGACGCCGCGGCGGCCTCGAGGTCGCGGAGCCGGCCGCCGCGGCCGCTCAGCTCCGCGAGCGCCGCGGCCCGCTCGTCCTCGGCGACCTTGAGCTTCTTCGCGGCCTCGGCGGCCGCGCGCCGCTCCTTCGCCCGCTCCGCGGCCGCCTCCTTGGCCTTGCGCGACAACTTCTCCCGCAGCTCGCCGACCTCGGCCGACGCGTCGCCGGGCGCCGCGGGCTCCGCGTCGTCGTCCTCCGGCTCCTGCTTCCGCGCGTCGCGCTTCGCCTTGGCGAGGTCCCGGCGCAGCTCCATGACCTGCTTCTTCAGCGCCTTCTCCTTCTCCGACGCCGGCGCCGCCGCCTCGCCGCCGCCGCCGCCGGCCTCGGCCTCGGCGAGGCGCGCCGTGAGCTGCTCGATGGCGAGCTTCCCCTGCTGCTTGTGCTGCTTGTAGCGGTCGACGACGGCCTCGAGCTTGCGGTTGACGTTGGCGAGCTCCGCGTCCTTTCGCGCGAGCAGCGCGGCCGCGTCGTCGTCGCCCTCATCGCCGCCGCCGGCGGCGCCCTCGCCCCAGCCGTCGTCGCCCCAGCCGTCCTCCTTGGGCGGCGGCGCCGCGGCGGCGGCGGCCTCGAGGGCCTCGACCTTGGCCCGGAGCGCGTCGCGCTCCGCGGCCGCGGCCGGGTCCGGCGCGGGCGCCGCGGGCGCGGCGCGCGCGGCCTCGAGCGCGGCGGCGTGGGACGCGCGGAGCTCGGCGATGGCCGCCTTGGACTTGTCCTTCATCTCGCCGTAGCGCTTGACGACGGCGTCGAGCTTCTTCCGCGTCGCCGCGAGCTCGGCGGCCGCCTCCGGGTCGGCCGCGGCCGCGGCGGGCGCGGCCGCGGCCGCGGCGGCGGCGAGGTCCTGCGCGGCTTTGTCTGCGGCGGCCCGCGACGACGCCTGGAGGGCCTTGTGCTCCGCGGCGATCTTCTCGACGGCCTCCTTGCCCTTCTTCTTCATCTCGTTGTACTTTTGGACGATCGCGTCCAATTTCTTCGCCGACTTGGCGAGCTCCGCGTCCTTGGCCGCGAGGGCCGCGGGGTCGCCGCCGCCGCCGCCGCCGCGCTCCTCCCTCTCCGCGAGGGCCTCGGCGAGCTCGCCGGCGACGTCGTCCGCGCGCGCCTCCGCGGCCTTCTTCGCGTGCGCGGCCTTGGAGACCGTCTCCTTGAGCGCCGCCACCTCCCGCTCGAGGGCCTGCGTCGACGACCGCGCGTCGTCCGTGACCTTGGTCACCTCCTCGCGGAGCGACTCCGTGGCGCCGCCCTGCTGCTCGAGCTGCTGCTTGAGCGCGCGGACGCGCTCCTCGAGCGCGCCGATCTCCGACGTCCGCGCCGCGCGCGCGGCCTGCGCCTCGCGCTTCGCGGCGTCGAGGTCGCGGCGCAGCATCTCCGTCTCGCCGCCCTGGTCCTCGCGGGCCCACTCGAGCTCCTGCTCGAGCTCCTTGACGCGCGCGTCGTCGCTCTTGGGCGCCGCGGCCCTCGCGGCCTTCTTCGCCGACGCCTTGAGCTCCGCGACCTCGGCCTCGAGGGCCGCGGCCGACTCCCTGAGCGCCGCCGCCTCGGCCGCCGCGGCCTCGAGGGCCGCGGGGTCCGCGCCGCCGCCGCCGCCGCCGCCCGCGGCGAGCTCGGCGACCCGCGCCTCGAGCGCCGCCTTCTCCTCCGCGAGCGCCTGCTTCTCCTTCTCCTTGTCCTCAACGCGCGACTTGGCCTTCTCCTTCAGCG